GCAAAGAAGTCATTCAGAACCTCAGCCTTCTCCAAATCCTGTGTAGCTAGTTCACCTGAGAGCTTCCTGAGGGGGCCTATGTTCTCCCTAGTCTGTTTTTGACTTGCTACGTACCTGTAGAATGCCTTCCTGTTATCCTTAATATCCCTAGCCAAGTTTAATTCTAACTGGGCCTTAGCTTTCCTAACCTGATCCCTAGCTTCCTGGACAACATCCTTGTACTCTTCCCAGGTCGCCTGCACTTGCTTCCACTTTCTATAAGACTTTTTTCATTTGAATTTTCCTCAGCAGCTCCTTATCCATCCAAGGAGGTCTCCTGGCCCTCCTGCTGCACTTCCTTCTAGTTGGGATGCAACACTCTTGAGCTTGTAGCAGGTGATCCTTGAAGATCAACCAAGAGTCTTGGGGCTCCCCTGCCCTCTAGGGCTATATCACATGGAGCCTTACTAAGCAGGTTCCTGAAGAGGCCAAAGTCTGCTCCTTTGAAGTCCAGGGCAGTGAGCTTGCTGCACGCTCTTCTCACTGTCCTGAGGATCTCAAATTCAACCATCTCATGATCGCTGCATCCAAGGCTGCCCTGGAGCATCACATTTCCAACCAGCCCTTCCTTGCTGGTGAGCACGAGGTCAAGCATGGCACCTCTCCTTGTCGGCTCCTCTATTACTTGCAGAAGGAAGTTGTCTTCCAAACAATCAAGGAACCTCCTGGATTGCTTGTGCCGGGAGGTACCGTCATTCCAACAGATGTCAGGTGTTTGAAGTCCCCCATGAGAACAAGGGCCTGTGAGCATGAGGCTTTTCCTATCTGTCTATAGAGTGCTTCATCCGCAGGTTCTCCTTGTTCAGGCGGTCTGTAAGAGATCCCCACAGTAATGTCTCCCATCGCTGTTTTCCCTTTAACCCTGATCCACAAACTCTCTCTTAACTGCTCACCTCTCCCCAGACAGAGTTCCATACTCTCCAGCCTATCCCTAACATAAAAGGCAACTCCCTCTCCGTGCCTGCCATGCCTGTCTTTTCTAAAGAGCCTGTAACCTTCCATTCCAACACTCCAGTCACAGGAGCCATCCCACCATTTTTCTGTGATGCCTATTATATCATACCCCCGTAGACATGCACACATCTCTAACTCCTCGTTTGTTCCTTCACAGATCAGGATTTTAAAACTGTATATATTCACACCCTAACATGAAACAAAATATTGAATAAAATATTCAATTATACCCAGAATTATCAACACAAGTTTTTTGGTTATGTGACTTTGATTTCAGAATTGCTCATGTAACAGCATAACATACATCAATACTGGACAACACAAACAGGAATTGCATCTCTGTCACCTTTGTTCTGAAAAAGATAAAAGTTTTGAAGACTCTCAAGACAAAACTTCAAGTAAAATCAGAAGCATAAATAAATGACAGTATTAGGACAAGAAAAGCAATCACAAATAAAGCCTGCCTACTAGAAGATACCAGATTATCAGAACAATTACTGTTACTGAAATTAGTAGCAGAATTTTAAGTAGTCCTAGTTTGGTGTTTGATCTGACCTGGAGGACCTGACATATTTGCCAGCGTGGTGAATAAACACAGAGATTGATTCCTCAGGTAGCCAAGCAGATACAAATTTACAAATGTGCACTTACAAGGTTTTGGTGTCTCAGACTTAACCTGGAGCCTGATCAAATTCTTTATTAATACCTCCCATTTGGAAAAGGTATCATGTAGCAGCCCTTAGCTATTCAGCTGTAGTTTAGATTTCAAAAGCTGTTCTGTTCTTGAAAGATCACAAAATGTGAAAACATGCTCATGCCAGAACATCATGAAAACAGCCAGAGAAATTATGTTTTAACAGGATATTTACCAGTAATAGGATGAATTCCAGTTATGTTTAATCTGAAAAACTAAGCAGCCATCAGAGATTTTAATTACTCACCAGATAAGATTACTGTCACAAACTAGAAAGCACAGGTATAAGACTAGTGACGGTATAGTACATATTTCATTTTCTCACCTGCATGAAACAACCTGGAATATTTTCTTGCCAGTTCAGAGACACATCATGTCTCTGCAGCAGCAGAGAAAACGTTTCCCAGTCCTTCAGCACCATTTAGTGGCTGTTCACTTGTAATACAGCTGTGTATATATAAATAAGTAGATTTCCACCTCCTGCTCTAAAGAGAATTAAGGAAGGCTGGCATGTATCATTCCAACATCCTCCCCTGTGAATGGCAGCTTAATATTATGCAATTTATTCATTCATTTAAAAACATTCAAATCTTTAAAGTGGTTAAAACAAGGAAGAAAAGCATGTGCAATATGTTACGAACACAGAAAAAGAAAAAAAAAAACAGAACAGACAGCCAAAGTTGTACAAGATAAATCATCATGCACTTTTCAATATGTCAGGTTTAAATCAATTTTAAGTAACTAAAGATTGTCAGGAATCATACAGGAGCACCTGAGTAATTCTAAAATAAGACATATAGAAGAATACCATTCTAAGCATTGAGACGCAGTTCCTTTAAAACTTTTATGACTAGGCAGTTATGATATTCAAGCATCGGCAAAATTATAGCTATGTTCAAGGAGTTTTCACTAAAATCTTGTCTCAACCCAGGAACAGGATTTCACCAGGCTAAAACAAGCAGACATTGGAAGTACTCCACTCACTACTAAAATAAGGTGCTTATCACCACAAGCAAGTGAAATTTCTCTCAAAAATAAATGCCAGTCCATTCCAGAGAAACACCTGCAGAATTTCACCTCTGCAAATCAGGACTGCACTTGGGCCTACTGTTCAGCTTTAGCAAAAATTATTTCTTTTATCCCTACTTCCCCATCAGTTCTTTCAATCTCCCCAACCTTTCCCAAACAAACTGAAGGATAACTAGAAATTAAGTTACTTTTAAGTAAAGTCTATATTTTCAGGTATTTATATTATACTGAGCTTTTATGAGCAAAAGCTGTCACATATTCACAGAATTCTATTCTTGTGCATGATTGGTGTGATCACCATTAGCTCCCACACACAAAGCCTTTGGGGATAGCAGCTACCTAATTCACCACAGATTCAACCAGAACAGCAGTTCTTGTCTTTTCATGATACCATCACGATATGACCAAAAAAAAAAAAAAAAAAAACAAACAACAAACCACCTTTTACTGCAACAAGAGAAACACCAGTACAATCCGTTGTAAAAGGAATCTATTCTGGGAGACCAAAATATAAGCCATTTTAAGGACTTAAATTAATGATCATGTAATATTAATGTCATGAGATAGCAGTAGACAGTGATGCAGTTTTTCAAGTTTAGCAATTTAATAATTCACTCCTCTGGTCTTTCATCAAGGCTTCATAGACATACACAAAAGCAGCTGCTTCTAGGAAATAAAATATAGGAGTTTGAACTGCAAGAGCAACGATACATCATCAGTTACCACCAGGTAATTCCAGACAGGAGGAACAGACAGGACAGAAGAAAGTGGATGTTACAACACAGTTACACACCACACACACAACAGAACATCCCAGCGTTGGGAGATTATTCTAGGGCTAAACTAGACGACAACACATCCCCAGTAAACTACCTACGCTAACTCCACAAGATTGTTAATGTGGTTTTAAGGCTGCTCAGCTCCACACCCCGTAACAAACATGCCTGAATATGCCTTCCAGCACGTTTCACGTTCCAGCTTTCAGGTGACAATTCCAGAAACAGCTACCTGAATCCGCCAGCCTAACCACGAAAACAGAGAGCCCTACTCCAAAGAGAAGGAAGCTTTGATTTAATTTAAGCCGTTCGCCCCTTTGGAAAGCCCTTAGACAAGAACGGGCGGAATAGTCTCTTCAAGTCCTACACGCAGCTAGGAGGGGCTCTGCCCTCCCCTTTCCCAACCCCTTTTCGCAAGGCGGAGAACCGGGAGAAGAGGCAGATTTTCCTTCCCTTGGCCCCTCCCCGCATCACGGCAGCCCGGAGAAAAGAGGTCTTTGCTTTCCTCTCTCCCTCCGCCATGGGCCGTGAGCGGGGGAAGGGAGACAGCCAGGAAGGGTGAGTCACCCTCGCGCCAAGGCCCACTAGCAGGAGCCGGGCCGAGGGGGAAAGCGACACAAGCCGAAGCCCAGAAGGGTCCCGGCCGGCCCCACCACCCAGTGCGTTGCAGGGGTACGAACTAAGAGCAGACAACCTCCAGAGGCCCCTGCGGCTCCACTCACCGGGCCGCGTTGAGTAGTGACTGTGGTCGCCATGGCGCCTTCCTCGGGCCCAGATTGTTCGTTGCGCCCCGCCAGACCGCCGCCAGTACCACAACTGCTACCGTTACCGTTACCGCTCCAGCGGCTACCGCCAACCGTCACCAAGCGCGACACTCCCGAGTCAGCTGACCACAACCCCGCCCCCAGTGGCGGCCGTGCCTGCAGCAGAACATTCCTCCCCCGCCCCTTCTGGCGTCTTCCAGAGCCGACCCGTGCGCATGCGCTGAGGGAAGCGGGGACCGGAACCAAGACACCACCCCTCTCTTCCCCCTCCTCCCCCCCTTTTGCGCATGCGTTTGGGAGGGGTGGGAACAGGACGCACGGAACCACTTCTCCGCATGCGCTCTTCTTCTCTGCAGCCACCGCAACGGGAAGAAGCGCTGCGGGGGTTCTGCTGTCGCTAGGGGGTGCTGTGGAGAGTACTAGGCGGTGGGTCCGCCATCTTGTTGCGGGCTGGAGCTGTCACTGCTGGCTTGGGGGGAAGTCGCTCTTCTCGCACACAAGGAAGAGGTGTGAGAGGTTGTGTTTAGCAGGCTGTGCAGCACTTCCCACTAAGTTTTCTGCCAGAGAATGCCATGTGTGTAAGGAATGGCTCTCTGCCTTCTCCGGCCTGGCCTCTGAACAGCTGGCCTGCTGTTAGTGGTTTTCCAAAGCAGAGACTCTGACCTCCTTCAGCTTGCTGAGCAAGTGCAGCCCTCTCCAGATGAACAAAAGCAGCTTTAATGTTCATCCGAGTGATATTCTGAGAGATAAAATCTGATCATTTCAAAGCCTATTTAAATAACATAACTGTTTCCTGTTGTTAGGATTTGCTGCACTAATTTAGCCCTTAATTAAAATTCTAGCGCAGATTTTGGCAGCTGGAAATAGAACAGTGCAATTAGGAATGCTCCAAATATAGCACCAGCTTTTATTTTTTCCATGCTACCCTAACTCCTTGCAGTGGGAACAGCCTCATCTTTTTCTATGTGTCTTGATACTCAGGAAAATGAGTACTACAGGATATAATTGATTGGGACCCATTGAATGGAGTTGATGCCAGCTGAAAGTCAACCAGCCAGCTGAAGAGAAAAGCTGTGACATTTTCTCTTACCCCTATCAACAGTTCCTCTGCTGTAAGCAGAATTCAGGCCAACCTACAAAACCATTAAAGCAGCAAATCACCCTTCCCTTCTTCCTGCCTCTAGAAAAGAAATCAAACCTCAAAAGATATGAATTTTTTTCTCTTTATATAATTTTTTTTTTTTTTTTTCGGGGGTTTTTTGTTTAAGGCTATAAACTGTTGACATAGAGTTGGCTATTTTGTAGGGAGAAGGGGTTAAGTTTCTTGGAGAATGCTAAAGGGCTTAGATTTTTTCATTGCCTCTTGTATATGCCTTTCAGCAGAGATGGTGCTCTACATGAAGGGGCGATGCAATGATGCAATGTAAATTAAGCTAAGTGATTAAGAACATCCAGCACTTCATAATGGCAGATATATGGCTATCTGCACAAGGCTTCTGTACTGGTACAGTTACATTAGTTTATAAAAGATGCTATCCTGATGTGAGGCCTCTTTCAGAAAATTCAATTTCCTTATATATGTGCAACAGAGTTTCAGTTATTAAGTGGTGTATGTTTCCTAAGCCAATATGGTTAAAACAGTAAGAAGATGCCGTAGAGGTAACATAAGAAGATCAGTGCTTATCTCCATCACTACAATCTTTACATCATGAGGGCAGGTTAGAGGGAAAAGTGTTAAGAAGTCTCATTCCTATTCTTAGTTGTATAACCACATGCGTTGGGAAGTATGTTTCACTTACTGTGGATTTCATTCTAAGACTTGGTCTAGTCACAACAATTTCAAAGAGATCAGACACCGGAAAAAATTATTGACTCTATAAAATTTCTATCAACAGAGAAAAGTGGTAACATTAACAGAGATTCTTGAGATTTGTTTTCCTCATGCAGAGACACATGGTGACTACAGTGAATGTTGTGCCTTCCTGACAGCACCCCCATTGTCTAACTGCATTTTTTATTTTCCTGGGTTTTTGTTATTCCCAGGAAATCCACATGGCACCTATCATTTATTTTCAATCTATGCCGTAAAGGTTTTGTTGAACAAGCCCCCACTCTCTCTAGGGTAAAATATTTGAAGGTGTCCTGGACACTCCACAAAAATGCCGGCTTTGCCATCTGGTGGACATCCACAAGAACAGCAAGTAGCCTTCGACCCGGAGGGACAAGTCGTTTTGGTTCCCTAAGTGCGGCATCACCACGAATAAGAACCTCTGCTGCAAAAACATTAGGCGGAGCATCTGTAGCAATTAAAGTGGGAATGTAAGCCATGGGAAAGGTGAGAGAACAAAAGTCATAAACCCCTGTTATTTGCAACATATGGGCATCATTAAAAAAAAGTTTAAAGGTAATTAAAGAAGCTATAATGACAATAAATTGTGTTTATCTTGTAATAAAAATTTAGACATCACTTTCTCTTGTATCATTCATTCATTCTGATTCCCAGTCTCTTCTCTGTTCTCCCCAGTTCTTTGTCCATCCCTCCCAGAATTTCTCCTATCCCAATTTTCCCCTTTTTCCCCTTGCCCCATTTGTTCATTCCTAAGTGCTTCTGACCTATTTGCATATCATCTCCAGCCTCTCTTTTGCTTTGATGCTCTGGTAATCTTCTATGTTTTTCTATTTAACTTTGCTTCCTGTAGATTTGTCATAAGCCACATATTCCTTGAAATTTTTCCTGCAGCTTTCTGTTCGTATTTTTTTATAACCTTATTTCCTTGCTCCCAGGTACTAGCTGGGTAAGAGGCAACACATGTTTCTAGTTCTCCATGCTGTTTCCCCATTATCCAGGCCAAATGCCGCAGATGACTATTACCTTTGCTGAAACCTGCCTGGAAGGGTCACTAATGCTGTTTATTTTCTGTAATCAGTTGCTTGTTTTTATGAATTTTCTAAGAGCTTAATATCCCTGAATAAAAATGGATTGAAATTGGACAGCAGGTTGGAGATAGGTAGAGGCAAACAAATATAAATCCACATAGCATGGTTGCTTGAAAATTATCAAATAGGTATCATTCTGCCTGGCTTCAGAATCTGAAAACACCTACGCTTTTCCTCATAAAACCAGAAACTATTGTCTTATGGTGGTGGGGAAGAGACAGGGAGAGAAATGCACGATGCTGTCCTCACTGAAAAGCAGTTACAGCAGAATTCATGCCAAATTGATTTTGTGCTTGTTCCCAAAACCAGAAAGGACACTTCGAAGGCTGAGGAGACTGATGCTGTGGGGAGAGTGAGGGAACACGATGCTCAGTGGGATGGTGTCTTAAGTTTTGATAGGTATTTATTTAGCACTTAGCATAGGGGTCTAAAGCTGAAATCTGTCAGATCTACAAAAATGTAAACAGCAGTGATTAGTGTGGTGAGAAGAGTACATCTGTACCTCTTTAAAAATAGTGCCCTTTTAGGATGTTCAAGCCTCCGAGTTTATTTAGGTAAGATAAATAATAGAATCCTGCAGTTAGAATATGAACTTCAAACTCTCAGCTGATCTCTTTCCCAGGGATAGCTCACAAGTGAATTGGGTGGTTCCATTTTGTGCATTTTTTCTGTCAGTAATGAGTATCTGTCATAATACTGGGGGAGTTCCCACAGTCATTTGAACCCTGTTTGTTGTGGCTTACAACGACAGTGAAGGCACAGGGATGTGTTTTAAAATGCACTCAGCTGAACTAAAGCTGATGCATAAAAGCAGAGTAACAAATCATGGCTGTAATATTTTAGTTCACAGATATCCACCTGGCACTGCAGAAATTGCAGAAGGATCTCACAGTGAACTAGCAAAACAGTGTTTTGTAGGTGTTACAAGCATACAAGTATATTGTGGGATGGCTCTACATTGCTTTACATCCTTGGCTTGGGTCTCAGGCAAGGTCAGCCCTTTTCGCCATGTCCTCATAGGACTTAACATGACAAAGAGAAACAGCATGCTTTGCAAAATGCAGAGCCCAGTTTCAAGGTAATTTCTTATGCAGTCTCCCAAAGCTGACTTGAAGTTAATAGCAGGCAAGGGTAAGAGTGAAAAAGGCCAAAGGGATCCACTGCTCTGTGGATCCGGCCCATGGTGGAGTGAAAGTGCAGAAAAAGGAAAGGGATGTTTCAGGCTTCATGCTACAAAAAAGACCTTGGAGTCCTAGCATGCCAAGTGCAGCTTCTCAGGATGTATGTGGTGTTATACAGGTGCTGGACATAGCACTGAACACACAACAGAGTGCAATGCTAGTGCTCCGTTCATGATACCAAATCAAGCTTGGTGATGTACAACAGAGCTGAAACAATAACATGGAAATCCCAGGTGGCATTCAGACTGGCTGTAACAAACAATAATTTCCATTTCAATAGCATGCAAGGTACTCACAATACACAGCAAACTTTAATTAAACCTCGCAGTTCAGTTGGGATGCAGAAAGATTATGTCCCTCATCATGACATGGCAACTCTGTAACAGCACACAGTAACATCACGCAGGAATTTCAGCCAGGATGCATACTGCATGGAAACTATGAGGGAATTCAATTGGGTAGACTAAAGAGATAAATAATTAAATACAAACTGGAGCCTAAAATCAGCGTTGCATCCCTGCCGAAACCAGGCCATGAAACAGAGGTGTTAAACAGCAGGCAACTTACCCACCATTGCAACCACCACGTAATTTCATACTCCAGCGTTACAGGTACTGATTGAACTAGATGAGTATTGGCAAAAGTGTGGTTTGAGCAATTGCAGGGGATTCTAGCAGAAAAGCCGAGAGCACTGCAGAGCAGCTAATAAGTGGCTGTTCTCCCATCACGCTGCACTCAAAATAGCCTTCCAGCAGCAGAAAAGCAAATTCTATTGGCTTCAACACCTGGTTGAGCAACTTAATACGGACAAAATTGAAAGTTAGAGCTGAATCATTATTTGTTCTATAACTATATCTTCATCACACAGTCCACTCCAAAATGGGAGTTATTTCATTTCAAATCAAGCTTGTGCTGGGTTTTTCTGTCGGTTCATTCAGCACAGAGGTGAGGGGAAGGTTTTTTGAAAACAGTTCCAACACAGCAGCTGCTTCAGAGGAAAGCAATCTACAATTATAAGGAGGATTTTGTCTCCTTTTCTCCAAATCTGCTATGCTTTTCCCAACTTGTATTTCTTAGGTGTATTTTTAATGCACCAGGAAAACCCTGTATTTAGTGATAGTTGGGTAATGTGAATTTCCAGACAGCACTTCAGTAGAGATAAGCGCTTGTGAGAGCAAAATGTTTCTGTCCTGTCCACAACAGACACAGAGAACTGATTGTTCCTCTCACTGAAGTTACGTTTTCTGTATTTGAAAACAGCTATTGTTTTACCTCTTAGTTTTCTCTGAAGTTTAGCTGTTTAGGTGAATTTCAGTCTAAACGCAATTCCTTCAGTTTTTCTTTATAAGTATACTTTATGAAGCCTGATAATTGTTGTCTTCCTCTGTTTTTTTCCCAATAGGACCATACCATCCTTGAATATTAAAAATTGGACACAGCATCCCAGCTGGGGCACAGACAGCTTCAAGGAGAGCTGAAGAATCACTTAATGGTTTTGCGGGTGGTAACACTGGCTATAAATTGCAATAAGGGTTTGCCTTTTTTACAGGAGTATAACATTGTTTACTTCTGTTCAGCCTATGATCTATGTTAATATCCAAATCTTTTTGTCATGTTCTTACATAGCTTGGCATTCCTCACCTTATGTTTTTGCAGTTTATTACTCTTGCCTAAGTATGGTGATCTATTTGTTTTTATTGACTTGCCTCAACTCCTCCTGAAGTTGTTCTACAACATATAACCTGTTATTTTTGATTGGCAAAAATACCTGCCCACAGTAACAGTGAGTAAAGCAACATGTTTATTTAAAAAGAACCTGCTCTATTCTCTAGAGAGAAGTCTAACAAATTAAATATTCACATCTTTTTTATTGAATCAAATCATCCTTTTTTATCCATATTATTTTTCAAATAGGAGATTTCATACTGCTTCATTTTTAAAAAAGACCAAATTCAGAAGACATTATTTGAAAATACAGACTAAGGCAACTTAGATTTTGACATTCTAGTCTCACAGAAGGAGGACATGCAGCATTCTCACTTGTGCTATCAGTATTTGTACCTAGTTCCATGCCAGTCTGTGAGTAGATATTGTAGGAATCCTGTTCATTTGCTGTAGGTTTTTTCATTTATTTCCTTTCTCTTTCCCTTTTCTTTCGCCCTTCCTTTTCCATTTCCCTTTCCCCTTCCCTTTCCCATTCCACTTTCCTTTCTATTTTCCTTTCCCCTTCATTTTCCCCTCCTTCCCTTCCCCTTTCCCTTTCACCTTCTTTCCCTTTCTCCTTTTCCTTTCTTTCCCATTCCCTTTCCCTCTCTTCCCTTTGCTTTTTCTTCTCCTTTTCTCTCCTCTTCACTCTTCTCCTCTCCCCTCCCTTCCTCTCTTTTCCTCTGTTCACTCCATCTTCTTTCCTCGCCTCTTTATTTTCTTCTCAGAAAATAAAATAAATATGAAGGAGAAAAAAACCCCCACAAAATTAAGGAATTGGTTTTGTCCACTCCCCAGATTTCCCCTCACCAAAATATAAATTAACATAGAAGGAGAGAAAGTATGAAAAAGAAGAGTGAAATGACACAGAAAGAAGCAACCACTTCCTTCAAGAAGGATAGCCCCCCCTGCCCTCCCCCTCCCCCCCCCCCCCCCCCCAGATTTCTTCCAAATATCTCATACTCAGTTTGCTCATATGTTTCCCATTTTATCTAGTATGTTTTGTAGGCACAAGTAGAACAAATGTGACTCTCTGCTCAACATAACATTTCCCACTGGCTCAGGTAAGGTATAATTCCCCACACTCACAGTAATGTGCAGAAATACTTGCTGTCCCACTCCATGCCCAGGTAAGCAAACATTGTTCTTCTGCTTATGCAATTTCATTATAGAAATCTTTGCTTATATGCAGCAAAATCTCCTTTCTCCTATGTAACTTAATTTGTTGTTCCTTCTCAATAACAAGATACACATGCAAATCAATATTCTATCATCTCTCTCCAACTGATGTTTCTTACAAAATAAGCACTTTTTGTGTATGTGTGTGTAAAAGGATTGAAGGGAGAAGGAATTCTGTGGGTTAAATGTCATACTTTCTCCTACTGGGTACTTCAGTGTTACAGATACTAGTTGTTATAATTAACAGTGATTATTATGAGGACTCTATGGTAATAGTGGCTTTCAGTAGTGATATTTAGCAGGTTCTCCCTCTGGTTGGCTCTCCCTCTGTGTCTTTGTGTTTAGTGCCTAAGTGCCTGCAAGGAAATCATTATTTTCTGTTAGATGTTTAATCACAAACCTTGCAAGGAAATTTGCTGTTTTCCAAACAGTGCAGAACTAACTTCATTACCACATTGACATGCTAGATACACTTGTCAGCTCTGAAGTCCCATCTTCTTAAAAGTCCCTAGCCTATATTCCCTGTGGTAAAGATTATTTTCCAATAATACAATAGCCTGATTTACTATATCCATCTTTCCTCCAGAGCTTTTCTTGCTGAATGTGACAGGTTATGGGGAACAGGGTAAGTTGCACAGAAATACATTTGGTGCCTGCAGTGAAACAATTGGTGTATATACTGGCTCTGTTTTCTTTGTGGTCAGATCCTCAGCCTCCTTTGAAGTCAGCAGTGATGCACAAAGAGGGTCTGGAGCTCTGTTCAAGCAGGGACAATTGTTTTGCTTCTCTGCAGAGCTGCCTTACCTCAGCCTCAGGGAAGTCAACAGGAGCTGCAGGAGTGCAGCACCTCTGAAAATGCAGCACATGCCACAGCTTTTTATCAGGTTTCTTCCAACAACCTCAAAATTGTTAGGGTACTAGAGGCAGTGCTGAGGAAAAGCAATTAGATACTCATCTGTGACTTCAGTTCTCAAACATGTGGACTTTGAGTCTACATCTGTAGCTGAGTATTTAAAGCATTTAATGACTCCTGCTTCTCTTCACTGATCATTAGGTGTCACCATATAAGGTGTCACCTGAGTGTTCTGTCACACAAGTGTCTGAGTGAAGAAGAAAATTAATTTTCTCCCTACAAGGGAGACTTCTAATGAGGTATTGGTCTTGTGTTCCAAGCTAATTGCTTTGAACAGAAGAGTAATATGCATCTTGTTAGACTTCCTGAAGATCTAAGCTTAGTTTTCATAGCTCTATGATCTCAGTAAGTAATTCGATCTCACCACACTGCCTCTCCACTCCCAAACAAGTTGGTATTAACACACCTATTGCCTGTCACAATTCTGCATGCTCAAGGGCAGGATCTCTGTGTCAATAAACATGCATAGACCATTTAGCACAAAAGGTCATTTTGGCCAAGGTCTTCAGCACTTACTGTAATATGAAATCTACATAATGTAATTTACAGGAAGAAATTATAAACCCAGTATTTAGCGAGTGTACTTAATTCCTTTCTACCTTCTGAAATACTGGAGAAAGACTTAGAAAAATGGAAGGTGCAAAGGTGTTGTCACCTGACTGTAATTGTACAGAATTTCCCAGCAGGGATTTAGCCCTACAGCTATATTCAGAACATGAAAAACGTGTGAATTAAAAATATGACTTTGCTCTTTCATGTGTATGTGTATGATAACCAAGCACATAGTTTTGTTGTTTTGCCTAAAATAAAGATGGGAAACACAGAAACATCATAGGATTATCTCAGCCTTCTCTACGTCATTCGTAAAGACTGCAAATTGTAGAAAGGACAGTGTTGCATATGTGATATTTTTGCCTCATTCTGCTTCTTTATCCCTGGTTTAACAGAAAAGCCTTATTTTTGTATGATGTGTAAATAATGCTAGTAAAACAGTTTATCAAAGACAGAGATTTGTTTTCTCTCTATGCAGAATTCATCACATTTATGTTATGTGAAGTAACAATATGATACTGTAAATACATTTGCAAGCTGTAATGCTGCTCTTGGCTCCTACAGAAACCTCTGAAGTTTTATGGAAGCCAGCCTCAGATTTCATGTGTGTTATGCATACAGGACAGCAGCTGAAGCTACCTGAGATCTGTTGAAAAATGAGGGCAACAAAGCTATCTACCCCACTGCAGCACTATCTTCTGTCACTCTTCTCAGGTCATATTTCTGAAACCCTTTTTTGTGACATGTTCCTTTTTTAACTTTGACCCCACTGAATATCTGTTTTTCTCATAGCTTTCCCTGTGGTACTGGGCAACAAGACTTGAGTAACATCAGTTTGGCTTTGCACAGCTGCAATTGTCAATGAATTGCCAGCTAATACAGTTCAGGCTATCTTCACACAAATAACACCTTACAGGCAGTTCACCTCTCATTATTAATATTATCTAATAACAACAGTAGTTAAATGTCTCTATTTAGTTTGGGTCCTAATTGTACTAGGCATTTTTTCTGATTAAACTATTTTTATGTGTTCATAACTTGTTATGCCTGATCTTGTTGATCTAGGGTAAAAAATTCCTACCCTCAGCCTTTGCCACAACTCCTTCTCTTTTGCGCCCTTCACTTTGCTTTTTCAACTATTTCTCTTACCATTTCCTCCTACAGTAAAATTATTCCAGTTTTAAGCAAACAAACAAACAAACAAACGCTCTCATGTATGAAAAGAAACACACTGTTTCCTCATTATTCAGTTGGGGAACTGAGATTTGGAGCGATTGAGTGACTTGCCAGAGGAAAAGGAGGAAGGATGCAGGAAGAAAATTTAGTTCCTCTGAGTCACAGTGCAGCATCTCAAGTAGAAACCTTCTTTGTTCTGACTTCACCTTACCTCTAAGCATTGCCCAGTCTCCTTATGCTCAGATTTTCCCTTCCTAGACTGTATCTCCTCTGATTTCAAAGGGTGACTTGTCACGCAGGACAGGCACAAAGGAGATTAAGGGGTTGTTCTAGTCTTTTCATGTCTGGATTTTTTCTCCACTGCCACTGCTACAAGCTACAGTGAAAATTATGCCCTGGAATCACAGCTTTCCCTTCACAGTCTAAAATTTCCCCCCCTTGTATCATGTTTGTTCACTGTACTTTTTGTTTGCTAGCTCCTGCCTGGCAAGCCTCATCTACCTGCTTTGTGCATAAATGTCAGGGATAATTCTGAAGGCTCAGCATGATTACCAGTTGGCCAGCTGCCATGTTGGCCCTTAGGATTTAACTTGCCAGCCACAAAATGGCATGCATATATTTATTTGTAGTTTAAAAGTTCCTGTGCCTGTTGTCTCTAGATGCACAAACAAAAGTTTTCAGCCAAATGTAAATATGCACTGCCTGAATTAATGTCCACTAATGAAATCCCTTCTTAACCAACCCCAACTAACATACTAAACCTTTCCACATCTTTAAATTCCTTCACACTCTTCCTCAGTCTGGAGAAAAGATAAACTGCAATGTGACCCATAGGTGAAAAAAATTAGAAGCCGGCAGTCTAGTTCAGAAGCAGACTCAAGGATCAAGTACTATGTATTGCCCACTTTCAGGCAGATTAGCACGAACTGTAACTCTGTCTCCTTTGCCTCAGGCAGTGAGTTCTCTGTTGGGTTTCTACTATGTGTAACTATTTATTGTAAAATAGATCCAAAGTTAACAATCTAATTAAAAAAAAAAAAAGAGAGAAAAGCTACGCTCAGAACCTAAAGTTTACTTGATTTCTAAAACAAACCCACATGAGCTCATGTATTAATGCACAGGGTGTCATGGTTTAACTCTGGTAGGCAGCTCAGCAGCACAGAGCTGCTCACTCACTTTCTCCCCCTCCTCCCCAATAGGACTAGGAGTAGAATAAGAAGGGTGGAAGTGGGAAAACTTGTGCATTGAGATAAACAGAGTTTAATTATCTTTAAAAAGGGCAGAGGAGGGGAGTACAAACAACAAGGAATCACACAACAACAACAAAAATAACAAAACCAAGAA